GCCCACATCCCTCTGCCCGTCCTCTCTTTCTGGGGGGTTTTAGGAGGGCAATGTCCAAGGGATTCCCACGCTCTGCCCAGCCTCAGTGTCTCCTCTAACCTGTGCCTGGTCTAACCTGCCAAAGCTCGCACCCGAACTGCACCTTGCAAAGAGCCCGGCACACTCACTCCTCTCCACCACGGTTAGCAGGCAGTGCTGCTCAGAGGCAGCACAAGCCACTGCAATGCATAGGAAGAAGGGGAAAAAAGAAGGAAAACCAGCAGGGAGATATTTGAATCCAGTCCCACCAGCAGCTGAAATGTTCCTGCGCTACGCTGGAAGGTTTTGTCTCTGGCTGGGGTTCAGGGAGCAGCTTTACAACAGCTGGGAAGGGGGCAGGGACGGGGGCGGGGGGGCTCGTAGCATGCTGCAGCTCCAGGTTTTGCTGTGTGTTTTCTGACATATGTGCTGAGCTGAACTCCTGATAAGCCATTCAGCCCAGCAGTAAATCAGCCACCGGCAGCCGAGCCTTCTCCAGTTTCTCCTGCCAGAGCCAAGATTTCAGCTCCCTGGAGGGTCCGGCTCTGTGTGAACCCACGGGGAGGGCTCCAGCGGCTCTTCCCGAGGGCCAAGCACCAACCTGGAGGGTCCAGGCACCCGAGCCCCAGCACTGCCCCATCCTGCAGTGCTGCCAGCAGCAGCTGGCTCTGGGAAGAGTGTTGGGACTGCTGTGTTTGGTATCAAGAAAAAGGCTCAGACCTCCCCTCCATCCCCCTCTTGAGTTGAAGACAACCTGCGGCTGCCCTGGGTGCAGCGAGAGCTGCTCGCCCCTCGGGGAGGTGCTGGGGGCTCGCTTGGCAGAGGGATGCCCTGATGAGCCAAGAAGTACTGGAGAAACTCAGTCACGCTCAACGCTTGCTGTTCGCGAAGACCCCAAGTTCCTGAGCAGTCCCCCAGCGCGTGTGCAATTCACGCACACTAATAACCCCCTAGTGTGGGGCACTGATGGGCCCTCTGTGCCTTCTGACCTCCAGCACTGTGGCCAGGGCTGGGCATAAAAGGAGCCCTGGGCAGGCACATGGGACCACAGCAAGGGCCGGGGACGGTGTGTGGGCAGGGCAGGGCGGGTTGGCGCAGGCGGTTATGAGAGGCTGGGGCTGGGCTGGAGG